AAAAAAATTTAAAAATACAGTTTCTGGGGCGCCTGGGTGGCTCGGTCAGTTGAGCGACCGACTTAGGCTCAGGTCATGATCTCATGGTCTGTGAGTTCGAGCCCCGAGTTGGGCTCTGTGCTGACAGCTCAGAGCCTGGAGCCTGCTTCTGATTCTGTGTGTCCCTCTCTCTCTACCCCTCTCCCACTCATGCTCTGTCTCTCTCTGTCTCAGAAAGAAATAAACATTAAAAAAATTTTTTCATACAGTTTCTTTCTTTTTTCTCTTATCTTTTTGAAATATAGTTAACACACAGAACAGAAATTCCGATAGTACAAAAGGGTATCTGAAAAATAGGAAGTCTTGAGGCACCTGGGTGACTCAGTCTGTTGAGCGTCCGGCTTTGCCTCAGGTCATGATGTCACAGCTCATGAGTTCAAGCCCCACATGGGGCTCTGCACTGAGTCTGCTTGGGATTCTTTCTCTCTCACCTCTCTCTCAGACCCTTTCCAAATCATGCTTTCTCTCTGTCAAAATAAATAAATAAATTTTTAAAAGAAGAAGAAGAAGAAGGAAGGAAGGAAGGAAGGAAGGAAAGAAGGAAGGAAGGGGCACCTGGGTGGCTCAGTCAGTTAAGTATCTGACTTTGGTTCAGGTCATGATCTCGCAGTTCGTGGGTTTGAGCCCCACATTGGGCTCTGTGCTGACAACTCAGAGCCTGGATCCTGCTTCAGATTCCATGTCTCCCTTTCTCTCTGCCCCTCTCCTGCTTGTTTTCTCTCTCTCTCTCTCTCTCTCTCTCTCTCTCTCTCTCTCTCTCTCTTTCTCTCTGTAGTTCTCAAAAACAAATAAACATTAGGGGTGCTTGGGTGGCTCAGTCAGTTAACCTCTGACTTTGGCCAGGTCATTATCTCATGGTTCATGGGTTCAGGCAGTGCATCAAGCTCTGTGCTGACAGCTCAGAGCCTGGAGCCTGCTTCTGACTCTGTGTTTCCCTCTCTCTCTGTCCCTCCCCAACTTACATTCTGTCTCTCTCTCCCCCACCTCCCCCCAAAAATGAATAAACATTTTTAAAAATTTTTTGTCATAAACAAACATTTAAAAAATGGGGGCCGTGGTAAGGGGCCAAGATGGCGGAACAGCATGGAAGTTTTTTTACATCTCTCATCCCTGAAATGCAGCCCAGATCAACACTAAACCATCTTGCATACCAAGAAAGCTGATTTGAGGATTAACAGAACAATTTGCACAACCTGAACCACAGAATTTGGCAGGTATGCAATGTGGAGAGGTGAACTGGAGGAGAGAGAAGCCCTGGAGTACAGGGAGCTGTTTTCATTTGCAGAGAGAAGACAGAGATGGGGGTGGGGGCAGAGTATGGTTAAAGCACCCCCATCAAAGCAGCTGGAGAGAAAAAGGAGGAGTGGAAACAGCCACAAGGGACTGAACAAAAACGGGAGAAAGGAGAAAGGAGAGCATTTAAATACCATTAAGACTCTATAAATGGGGGGAGCACATAATCTGAAACTCCACAGCTTGATACCTGGCAGTGCTCTGGTGGGAAGGGGCGTATCCCCAGGAGCAGAGAGCAAGGCCCAAGGAACCCTCGGGCCACACGGGGAGAGACAGGTCCCCTGCTGGTAGAGGCGGTGCAGCCTCCCCACAACCAAAGGTCCCAGCAGACCCCAGAGAATGGCCACATCCACTGGGATTGGAGCAAGGATGTTAATGGTGAAGCCTGGTGCCAAATGTGTGCTGTGATTTGCCACAATCCCTGAAATGCTGCTGCTACACAATTGCACAAACTTTTTCTCAGGTGGGCTGATGCCGGCCACAGTCTCTGGGCATAGGAAGTGGCACAGTCTGGCGAACATTCCTGGGGGCGGGCTGGCACCTGGCCATTGGTCAGTGATACCCTCCCCCAGAGAGTCAGAACGGGTCAAAGCCACAGTCCCTCAGAAGTGAGGGGTTGGGAAACACAGCCCCATTTGAGATAAAACTCAGGAGGAAGGTGGTGCCCAGCAGCCTGACAGCTTGGTCACAAACAGTATAGAAGCAGGGAGTGGACAGAAGTCAGATACAACACAGGGGTGCTGGACTGCAAGTCATAGAGAGCACACAGGTCTGATACTACAGACTGGGTAGGTAGGTGGTGCCATTTTCACCCCTTGCACACATGCGCATACACCGCTACATGCACCACAGCAATCCACCCCAGTAAGCTAAGTAGTCCCATCTAGTGGAGAAGGGAGCTGTTACACTAAGCCTCACCCAACTGGGCCAACCATGTTCTTGAGGACCACCGTAAGTCTCTCCTGCTTAGTTTATGGACTATAAAGTGCTTCATGGTTTGAATTCTAGGGGAAAACAATGTAATTTCAATCATATTTCATTCAGTTCACTGGTCCATCTATTCAATTTTTTCTTTTCTTTTCCTATTCTTGAATGCAGAAGGAAAATTTATTTTTATTTTCCATTTTTATTAAAAAGATTTTTCTTTAGGGGGACCTGGGTGGCTCAGTCAGTTAAGTATCCAACTTTGGCGCAGGTCATGATCTCACCACTCGTGAGTTTGAGTCCCGCGTCGGGCTCTGTGCTGACACTCAGAGCCTGTAGCCTGTTTCAAATTCTGTGCCTCCCTCTCTCTCTGACCCTCCCCCATTCATGTTCTGTCTCTGTCTCAAAAATGAATAAACGTTTAAAAAAATTTTTTTAAGATTTTTCTTTAATTTTTTTACTGTTTTTTACTTTTTTGTAAATTTTTTAATTCTATTTTACTTCCATCATTTCATTTTATTCTGTTTTATTGTATCTATTTTTTCAAATTTTTGAACATTTCCCTTTTTTTTCTTTTTTCCTTTTTTTTATTTTCTTATCTTTCCCTTTTTTCTCTAACTAATCAAGGTTTTTTTCAATAACCAAACCAAAATACACCTAGGATCTAGCATCCTTTATTTGATTTTTTTGTGCTGTTTTTAATTTTTTTACATTATTAATTCCTTTCTTCCTTTAAAATGACTAAACAAAGGAATTCACCCCAAAAGAAAGAACAGGAAGAAATAACAGCCAGGGACTTAATCAACACAGATA